CACTGAATCTACTGAGCATGGGTACAGATTACTTTGGTACACCTGCCTCCCAGGAATCTTATATAAAAGTCAGCGATGGCCCAGAATGATGTGCGGAAAATTATTTGTGATAAGGGACAAACAGGTTCATCTTACTGTGGTAGTTGAATTGAAGGATAAAATCACATCACCCTAGTTCTCTACTTTCCATACTTAAAACTGTGAGAATTTACAATTCCTGCTTTCATCAGAAGAGCTACAGCAAGCACATCTGACTTTTATTGCAGCTGTGAGGGTAATGCATTTTGATGGCTGCAGCGGTGTAAGTTCCACAGGCTGCTGTGGGAAACAGCCCTCTTAAGGTTAGTTTGGTAAAAGTGTCATCAGGGTTATGCGTGATGTGCTCTAAAATCTAATACACATCGATGCAGGAGGAACTTTCAGTTTGAGTTTAGGAATGTTTGATAAAAACAAGAGACACAGAAAAGGTCTTTTTGCTGAATTGTCTGGCCATAATGCAAACACCACCATAAGTTTAGGGTTTAGTAGCTGTTCGACTGGCAGTCCTGGTGTGCATGTCTTCTGACTTGCTTTCTTACCAGTGTATAGATTTGCTAAATTAGGCCTTCTGCGAGCTCCAACAGCTTTGGGGATTGTTTCCATCCCTCACCCCCCAACCCAGTCTCTTGTGTCTCAGTGCCACTGAATGAACTTTCTGGTCCAACGTGGTTTGAATCAACACTGCTGATGGATCCAGGTCCAGGCTCTCTTCTCCTTGTGTTCTGGGATGCAGAGATGTTCTTGGGTTTGTAAGATTAGACGGGACTGCAGTAGATCTATTGCATATACTTAAGCAAAATGAATTTGCATGTGCTTTCTGACAGTGTTTACAGCGTCTGTGATTTTATCATGATTGTGGTTTTCTTAAAACTCCAGCATCTTACACTTATGTGAGACTTTTGGCTTTTATAGAACAGAAAACTTTTTTAGCTAATGAGGTTGCAGAGACATGTAAAGGTGAATTGTAAAAGCTGCAGCATAAAATGAATAAAACGGCTATAAAATGTCATGATTTATGGGAGATGGTAATGCAAGATGTTTGAATAGTTAAGAGTTGGGAATGCTGTTTCTCCTTTTTTAAATGTCTTTTTCAGTCTTCACACTATTTAGTTTTATCTTCCTTTTCCTTTCTCTAAACTTCTTATTCATTTAAATACTTGCTTCTCTTCCTTCTTTTCTGTACATGCTTTTAATGTTTTCTTCTAAAATTTATTTCTGTGGTCTTTCTGTCTCGTTAATCCCTTCCCTCCCTTCCTCCTCCTCTTTGATGTTTGTGCTGTGGTCTTCATCCGTTTCCCAACAGACTTCTCTTAGCTCTCGTTGCATGATAAAGCAGTGGGCCAATTAGCCCACGAACAAGGTTTTTCCCTCCATTCCTTGTACAAATCCCCGAAGCGCAGGCAGATAGTGCTTTAGAGACTGGATGTTTCCATTTACTGCTGCATGCAGAGCTAATGGAGCAGCATAGCCCGGGAAAGGACTACAACATAAAAAGCCTAGGGGTGCGGTGCTGCTGCCCTGCTTCCAGCACGTCTTCAGCTTAGTGCCGGGGGTTTAATTTGTATAACTCACTCTGCTCTTCCTATGGAAGCTATATCCCCTTGTGAGACTGCTCTTCAGAGACTATTTCCAAAAAAAAAAAAACCCTGTTCTATAAAAAGCCTGATGACTCAATCGTTAATATACGTAAGTCAGAAAGGCTGCTCCCAAGGTTGAGCAAGACGAGGGCTGTGAAGAAGGGGACCTCGGGGTGTGATCCCGTGGCCACGGGGGCTTGCACGGGCTCAGAAAGACTGAGTCACTCAGGGCTTCGTGCTCCCTGCTAGTGCGAGCACTTTGGCTTCAACCTAGGATTGCGTTTAATTTCTAAGTGCTTACTCTCAAAATGAAGCCTCTGTGTATTCAGCGTAAGGACTATTTCAGTCACAACGGGAAGCGAAGGCACAGGGCTAATGGCCCACAGATCCTTATTCTGAATGTTATTTCAAGACTGCACCACTGCATGATTTTGGACAATTCTCTCGTGATTTCTCCCCACACAGACTTACTGACTGTAGCTGGTGATGAGGATTAAAGCAATTAATGTTTGTACAGCATTTTGAATGTTAAAAGCCGTTACATAACGAAGTGTTACTATTTGGGGGTGTGCTGCAGTGCAGCAGATCTTGGTGCAAGCAATTGGGATATTCGGTGGGCACGAAAACCCAGAAGTAACGGGGCACAGGGCTGGCCGTGTAGCCCTGTCCAAGGGCCTTACTGTTCCTGAGTGAGTCTGGGGGAAAATATGCCCTTTAGCTCATTCTACTGATCTGTTAATTTAGTGAATCAGCTGATGTGACACCAATGTGGAGGTAAAGAGAGTCCCTCTAATGTGGGAGAATGTTTTGTAGAGAAAGTTACATATACAGAATGTTTCTATACGTTGAGTAGTACTAAGGTGTGATATTTTTTTTTTTAATACAATTATAAAAACAAAGTTTGCAGATGAATTCTTCTGGCAGTCAAGTAATTCTGTAACCATGAGCTATGGATTATATGACTATAAGGTTGTTATTTGTCAAAGTAAATTTGCTGTTTCTCATAGGGGGGTTTTTTTGCAATTTTTATTTAGCACTGGACACAATTAAATCCATACATGGTCAATTAAAAAATACCATTTTCAACATTGTGCTTCAAGTGCAACAACAGAAAAAAAAACCAAACCCAAATGGTAAACTCCTGATAGAAAGCTGCTTTCTGCCAGTGAGCTCCAGAGTCTCTGTGGTGGGATTGCGTTAGCTTGTAGTGTGTCTGGACTAATCACGATCTAAAGGAAGGAGTGGTTATGGTACTAGCAGCTGCAGAAGTCGTAGTTCATATTGGCATGCTGCAGTTTGTGCAAAAAGTGCCCGTGTTTTGTGGCTTTTCTGTGAATATTAAAATTAGTAACTAGCTGAATGTGGTAGCCCACGTTATAATGCAGTTGATAAAGCATCAGTAGCGAAGTAGGCATCTTGCTAAAATGCTTCTACCAGCTCTGTGTTCATTTGGGAGGGAGACCTGGTGGCACAGAGCTTGGATAACTTCCTAAATTTTGCTATCTTTAAAATTAGTGAGAATCAACAGGATGGTTAAATGCCCTGAAAACATAATCAAGGGTATGGCAAGGTTTAAACAGGAATATTGTTATTGGCTTGGTTATTTTGTCTGGAATATATGTGAAAACCCAAGGGACCTCCTGGGTGGAGAACATGGAGCCGCTCCAAGGTTGGCACGCTTGCCATGGTTTTGGATGGAGATTCCTGTGAAAGTGATACAAAGTTTTCAAAATCGCCATTGTGTTAGGACTAAGTTTAGTGGGCAAGTTACATGTAGTAGCTAGGGAGGTTGCAGAGGAGAACTGCAAAGGAAAATCCCTGGATTTCATTGCTATTAATGCTTTGACTTAGGCTGGCAGTCCTGCATCTCCTGCTGCCGTAGGAAAGCCTGCTTTTGAAGTAGGATTTTGTAGCCTTGTGTCCCCCACAGAACACTTTCTGGTGAACTGTTCCCAGGATGAGGTGAAGGCTGCTATGTGCAGTCTCCTCTTCTTCACCACATTGGTCATTTCTCTGCATGCAGACTTTGGGTTTGGTTGCTGTCCCTGTAATTGTGACTTTTATCAGACCAGTTTGTTCATTCAGTGAAAGACTGCTTCCTTAAACTAGTTTAACTTCCAAAATAGTTTAGAGGAGCCCCTAAAAGCTGACTCAGGATTTGAAGTTCTCTTTGCTTTTATTAATCTGCTTTTTGAACATTTTCTGCAGTGACTGCTATATCCTTTTTACTTTTGACAAATGTTGCAATGTGACAAACACATGAAAACTGGGCACGGTTATGTTTGAAGAATACAGTGGATTTTTCATTTAATTATGGTCTGCCTGTAGCTGTAGCCCTCTTGACCTCTGCATTAACTGCGCCATGTATTTTGTTGTTGGATAATATGCTCCTTGAGGCAGGGATCTGGCTTGTCAGGTTTATAAATCAGCAATTGCATGGGTTGTGTACTGTAAGTAATACTTGGAGAGAAGCTGCATACAGGGAACTCGGGTAAATACATCCAGCGGTTCATGTTCACCGTGTCCATGGATTCCTTCTGGGTAGAATTTGCTTTGCCCTTCATTAGATTTTTACCAACTTTAATTAAGCAATCAGCTACCTCATTTCTACACTTGTAATTTTAGACTCTGAGGGTCGTGTCAGCCTGTCACTAGCAGAAGCAGCTCACCAGAAGTGAGCCTAATACCTTCTGCTTTGCCAAAACCAAATCGTTTCCCTGCTTGGCTTTTGTGAGGAGTTAGAGAGCTCACAGGAGAAATAACCGACTGAAACATGCTGTTAGGGATAACGGTCAAATTCTTCTTCTGCTAAGTCTTGTGCACTTGATTTTGTGGTTTTCCTGTAGTTACTGGTGACTTCCAGTAAGAGTCCTAATAGTTTAGCAGACAGTAGTCAGGTTTTGAGTTTATTATCTGCAGAGTCACTTGCTTAATTGCAGAGAAGCAGTCAGCCTTTCTGTAGGGAGGGCTGGAGAGGCTGGGAATGATCTCGGCTCTAAGTGTGTTTTGATGGCTGGTTGCATTGACAAAAACACTTGTGTTCCAGCTCTGCTTTAATAGTCTCTTGTCTTTGTGCTTTATTTTGCTTATCTCCTTTTCCCTGCCACTTTCATTTGAACGGGATATATTTCATTTCGAGCCCAGAGCTGCCGTGTGCTGTTGCAGTGCCCGGAGGTGGGTGCCTGGCAGCGAAGGGGGGAGTTGAGCCCCCCCCAGCACCCTGAACTCCCCTAGCTGTCTGTTCGCAAAGCACCTTGAGAAACTCAGATGAAAGCAGCTGCTGTTACATTTTATTCTTCCTACTCCCTTGAGGATCTGATAATTGTGTGTTTGTTTTTATTCCTTTTTGATTTATGTTCCCTTTTGTTGCTGTGTTTCTGACAGATCCTCCTGACTGGGTTCCAGATGAAGTCTGCAGCTACTGCACGGCATGCAAGGCTCCTTTCACAGTCATTCGCAGGAAACACCACTGTCGGAGCTGTGGCAAGGTAATGACTCAGTCAAACGTGTGAGAAACCATCCGCCAAAGAGATCAGCAAATTTACGTGTACCACAAACTCAGCTGCACAGCAAAATGTGTGCGCTTGGCCAGGGCTTCTAAGTCACAAGTGGTTTTGTGTGTCTTGGCTATCAACTGCTCAGCTTATGTTCAGAAAGTGTGGGGAGGAGGGTTTTGACTTTAATACAACAATAAGCATTTGTCTGCTAAAAAGCAGAACTCCGTGCTGAGATCCTGGAACAAACACCCCAAATCCAGAGTCACTCTGGACTACTGCTCTAAGCTTTCGTGAGCCGCAGCAGCCTGCGCTGCGAGGGGCGATGCACAGCTCAGCTGCAGGGACAGTGTGTCCCTTTGCTTGCTTTCCAAACCTTTGCAGGAGGACTGCGGTGTGGAGGGCTGCTGCTTTGCAAGTTCGTGGGGGAGGAAGAGGGAGCAAGAGGAGAATAAAGCAGTCATGTGCTTCAGAAAGCCAGAAGTCTGCTGTCCCATTTCACTTGCTAGTGTATAAGTTAAAAACAAAGAGGGTAGAGAAGCTGTTTCTGTTAACCTTATAGTGGAATTGCAGGACTAGGAACTTTGGAGATACTCACAAATATTCCCCTAGTCTTTCTTTAAAGCCAGTGGAGAGAGATGCTTCTTTTTGTCTCTGGAGCTGCCTTCCCCTGTGACCTGCAGAGTAGCCAGCCTGCCTTGGGTAATGGCTTGGGCACCCACGTCAGAGAGGCTGCGCACAGTCGGATTAACTTGTCGTCAGGCTATGAATTGCCTTGCCAAGGCCTTTCACGTGCTATGCGGAGGAGCGTGGTGGTGCTGATAACATGAGAGCCCAGCACGTACAATCTTCTCTCCCCCCGTCTTAAAATCAATCTTGTCCCACCCAATTTTTCAAAAGAACTAAAGTGAAATCTCCCTCTTGTTTTTCAGATCTTCTGTTCCCGCTGTTCCTCCCACTCTGCTCCATTACCTCGTTATGGTCAGATGAAGCCTGTCCGTGTTTGCACTCACTGTTACATGTTCCACGTCACTCCTTTCTATAGTGACAAAGCTGGTATCTGACATATTAAACTACTGGTGTATCTTCTGGAGTCTTACACAGACTGATATATTTGACCTAAGCCAAGAATTAACTTGAAAGAGGGACCCCGTGAGGGCGTGTAGGCTTTGACATCCATTATTATAAATTTTGTACAGACAGTTTTTATTGCATTTTACTAAGCTGCTAAAGGGAAGTATGAAGCGTCTGTAGCTCTAAGGCTACAGTACAGTCTTCCATAAATTTCTAACATTAATGTTACGATGCCATATGCAGAACAAATGCACTGTGTGGACGGAAATAGGGCTCAGAGAATTGAACAAGCATTGCTGCTTATCTGACATGGTAGGAACAGAGTAGCCAGTTAACTAGTCCATCCCAGCAAATCAGTCCCAAAGCTCGGACACTTCTGTGCTCACTACAATACCAGCATGGCTGTGGATGTCAGCGCTTGCCCTCCTGCTGCGGTTTAACTTTCCCACCACTAGATTTTTTGCTAGCTATGCTAGGATTAATTAAAGCAAACCTATTTCAAGTCCATATTCGATATTTACAAAGGCAAAATTTTCTTTGACTCGCGTAGGAAGCAGTGAAGGTCCTGAAGCAGTGTATTTCTGTTGCCTTTAATTTACCAAGCAGAGCAATAACTCCAAGTCGTCTTCTAAAAACTAAGTTTTACAACTTCCAATGCCATATTTTGGAGTTTTGGAAGTATTTATAATCTGCATCATTTATGCTAAATCCTGTTAATAAAAGTATAACACAGAGCTTTGATTTCTATATCAGCATTTAAAACTTAAACGTCACAGGAAATGGTTACCAAATGAATGAATAAATATTAAAATACATATTTTTGAAAGAGTTCAGCAGCAAAATTCAGTAGATGTGACAAATTATTTCTCCCATCCTGAGTTTTTTAAATGGTTTTTAAAAGGGCAAATATGTAATGATACATTCAAAAGGTCCTACAGAACGGTCAACAGAGAAGGGTACTTGTCCACATTTGGCAGAGTAACCATGTAAAATATTGCATACTGTTACTTCACTCATGCTAACAACTCTGAAGACATTTGTATTTATTTGGAACACCAGGGATTAATTTTTTTCTCCACTGGGAGACAAAAGAAACAAAACTCCCATGGATTCATGCTATGATCTTGCACAAACTATTTGCAGTAAGAGCTCCCTGAGCACTGAGGTTTCAAAGGCGTTTGGACACGCTTTGAGTTAGCCACATGAAAAGCAAGGCGGTCTGTGCTGTGGGCGCAGAGGAAGCGAGATCGAGAGCTCTTCGCTGTATCCCCTTCCCTGACTCGCAGTGTTACACACTGTGTTTCAAAGTGATAAATACAAAAAAGGATGAGGAAGTTGTTTGCGGTATCATGCTCGAGAAAGGTTGTCGTTCAAAGTGATGAAGCAAAACTCGCCAGTGTTGATTTTTTTTTTTTTAAATTTCTTTTTGGGGTGGGCATACCCTTTAAGTGGTTTAATAATCAGTGTTAATGAGCCATATAAGGGTACAACAGTTTGGCACTACTGTTGTTTTGAATCAGATGAAACAGCTTCACTTTGTTTATGTGTAATACACGAGCCTTATGATGCTGTTTGTAGACAGTGTCAGCAATGATGCGTTATCCTCACCTTAATTTTTTTTTTTCAGTAGTAGTATTATTACCTCCCCGTGGAATCCTTGAGCTGGAGTGTTGGCGTTCACCAGAGTTTGGAAAGGCATGGGGTTGGGCAATTGGTGGGAGGTGGGTAATGTGGTGCAAGCAATGATACTTATTCAGGCTTAAATCTCAGGCTTCACATTGCAATGATTATTGCAGTTTTATTTTTAGAAAAAAAAAACCCAACAAATTTAATGCTTCTTTTATAGGATAAAAAAATACAACAACGATTGTGAAATAAATATGCACAAAATGTTGCTTCTGTGAAAAGAAAATCTTATTTAATGGACTGAATATTTATTCAAGCTTGTTTTTATTTTGTAAATGCTGTAATTCAGAATCATTTCCATAAATATGATATTTAAAGATCTCAGACACTATAGTTTCTTATGTAAATACAGACTCTTATTTCTCTTACTGAAAAGCACAATGACTATATCAATACTAATATACATTTGCCTCAAGGAAAACTTTCATCTTGTAATCTCTTCAGATAATTAAAGTGTCAGGACTTTCTACTTCCACGTGCTGGATTGCTTTTTCATTTTGGGGTCTGTTTACATGGAGTGACAGCTGCCAGCCTGTCAAACAAACTGGCCTTAAGTCTTTCTCACTTTGTAAATAACGTGAAAGAAATGAGTTTAAATTCGGGAATGGAAGTTGTCGGGACAGAGAAGGGGTGGTAAATTGAAGCTGGAGTACTAGCCTGTCCCTTGACATTGCTTCGTGCTATCCCTTGCCACTGGCTGAAAATCTTCCTTCCCAAAATCTCTTGTGTCAGTGGCCACTTGATGTGTTAGGCATATTGGATCTGCCCGTGTCACATCTGAATAAGCTTTTTGGGGGGGTGGGGCGGATACATATCTGCAATGAAAAATAACACTGCTTGGGCCCACCTGCACAGTTATTCTTCCAAAGCGTAAATGCCCGGTGCCGATTTGCTCTGCTCCTTGTATGAGAAAGAACTGTTGCAGGTTTTATAAGAATTAATTTTATTTTCTGGAGGACTCAATGCATGGCCTTGGGATGCCATTTCACTTGAAAAACCGTGTTGCAGCTCTGTGACGTTTGGGTCTCGGCTTCAGTGGTGCAACAGCAGGAAAATGTTATGGCAAGCCTGCACGCAATGTTAAGATTCCATTTGAATTAACATACATAATAGTTATGGGCAAATAATGCTGCTTTAAGGTGTGTATAAATAAATGAACAGTGGAAATTTATCCTAAAGGGACTTTTTAAATGAAATTTACGTTGCTTCAGGGTTTTCAGGGAGGAAATAGGGATCTCTTTTCTCCAAACAATGTGTTCCACAGCAGTTTTTTTGTGGGATGCCACAACGGGAGCCATGCACAATAAGGTAAGAGTACCATTGCCAAAGGTGGCAGTAATTCACCTGGTGACCTGTATGACAGGTTCCCTCTGAACCAGGGCTGTTTTCAGAAGAAAGAAAAAAAAAAATGCAGTAATCTCTGAAGTGATCCTTTCCAGAGCTGTACAAATCGTACAGCGTGTCCTGCCCTCTCCAGGTTTGTAATGGGAGGAGGGATAGCAGGGCTCCCTCTGCAATGAAAGGAACTTCAATAAAAACCCCCTCTGCTCCCAGAGAATACCCCTGTCCAGAAAACAAAAATACTTAAAAGCTGCCACACAGCAGCTCAGTGAGGAGGAACCTGGATGGGAGCAGTGGGTGAGGAAAATGACCTTTGTGTGTCGTCTGACCTGGGAGGAAGGAGGAGGAAAATGGGGTGCATGCGTGTGTGGCTGTGCCCGTATGTGGAGGTGGAGGGGACATGAAAGGTGGTGGGCTGTGGAAGCAGGAGACTTGACTGTAGGACACCTTTAAACAGAGCCCCATCACAATCCTGCCTGCGAGCGGGAGGAAACCACCAGTGTTCTCAGTGTCTCGTCCCCAGCTGAACTCCCTGTCAGTTTATGCAAAGTCAAAGCTGCTGGGTCTGCATCCTCCGGTTTCCGTGGCAACCCCCAATAGCATCTCTCCACCGAGTGCCAAGACTGCAGCACTCTGTTCCCGCACAGGCAGGCACGGAGGCTTCTGCTTTCTGCTTCGTCAGAGGGATTGTGATTGCTCAAACATCTTTATTTGTAATGAAGATTTATGCTGCAGAGTCAGATGCTTACTGTGAACTCTATTTTCTGATGATAACATTTTACTGAATTATGCTTTATTTTCTGATGATAACATTTTACTGAATTATGCTTTATTTATGGTGCTTGTCTGGAAGAAATCGTCCCTGTGGGCATCCTTTTGACTACTTTTGAGGGTTCTTGAGCTATTTTCCCTTCCCCTCTTTCACCCTTTACCCCACTTTATCACCCAGCTTTCAGTTTCTGCTGTGTATAAACTAGATGTCTCATGTAGCCTCCTTGGGTCTCTTCCAGATAGTGAAATACTAGAGGCAATATTAGACAACTGAAGGAGCTTTCATCCCTATTTCTTCCTGATCTTGCCCTTCAATTTCCAAGGCACAGGCTCATTTCAAACCCTCATTTAGTGTCCTTGTACCTGCAAAGAGCATCCTGCCACGCAGGTCCCTCCTGACTGCCTGAGCCACCATGGGGTTTGCACCAAGGCGTTTGAAGTCCTGCAGTATTCCTTTACTTTGTGGAGGAGAAAGGATGGATCTGAAATCCCAGGTTTTAGTAGCTGTTAGTAGATTACAGATACTGCAAAGGCTGATTTATTTTATTTGGCTCTCTTTCCTTTGGTCTTAAACCAAAAAGTGGCAAAATACTAGGCCAGAAGAATGAAGAGGAGAGGACTTGTTATAGCAAATCTAGAAGTGTGAAGACGGTGTTTTAATGAAATAATTGGTCTCTTTGAAAACAAGCTGTAACTGCATGTGCTAGGAATGCTGGGGCTCATGCATAAAACAGACCGGCCAATTAGTCTTTCATGAACTCATTTCACTTTTTGTTTTCACTAAACATGAAGGCTCTGAAGTGTGAAGTATGACTTTCCCTCATGTTTCACTCAAAGGTACGAAGCTGATCTGTCTTCTCAGTTTTTCTCTGCAAACAACCACCAACCTGTTAGGACTCTGACTGAGCTTGTCTGCAAAAGGGAGAATTCTGCTGTGCCCAAAGCGATGCAGCCAACAGCGGGGCCTCCAGCCCTCCTGCCTGCTGCTTCGGACACTCCTGAGCATCGGCGAGGGGAGTGGTGGGCGAGGGGGGCTGTGGGCACCCGTGGGCACAAGGCAGCTGTAAATGGTCCCAGTTGCTGAGCGATGCTGCCAGCTGCTCTTTGCCATGAGCGTGAGGTGCTGGGATGCAAGGGACCACTCTGCCTGGGAACGGCAGAGCCAGCCAGGCTTTAGCTGTAGCTATCTCAGATGTTACAGAGATTTCATTTTCTGGAAATAACCCCATGCCAGGTACTAATACCACTTAAGCAAGCACTGAACTGTTGTCTTATTCTAGAAAATAGAGGAGGGCCTTGAAGGTGATCAGAGGGCTGGAGCACCTCTCCTGTGAGGACAGGCTGAGAGAGTTGGGGCTGTTCAGCCTGGAGAAGAGAAGGCTCCAGGGAGACCTTACAGCAGCCTTCCAGTGCCTAAAGGGGCCTGCAGGAAAGCTGGAGAGGGACTGGTTACAAGGGCATGGAGTGACAGGACAAGGGGGAATGGCCTTAAGCTGAAGGGGAGATTTAGACTAGATATTAGGAAGAAATTCTTTACTGTGAGGGTGGTGAGGCACTGGCACAGGTTGCCCAGAGAAGCTGTGGATGCCCCATCCCTGGAAGTGTTCAAGGCCAGGTTGGATGGGGCTTTGGGCAACCTGGTCTAGTGGAGGGTGTCCCTGCCCATGGCAGGGGGTGTTGGAACTGGATGATCT